ATCAGACCTGTGGTATCTAATGAGAAAGTTGAACTTTATCCAAGAGGCCATGAGATTTGCCATAAGGAGCGGGAAGGAGCTCAATCAAAGGAGCTCATGTCCTTTATGGAGTCTTCGCTGATTCTATTCAGTTCCTGCACCGGCTTCAGTTACTTTATTTGCCTCACTCTCTTGGGCCTCGCTCGTGCGATCTGCTCCAGGGCAGCTTCTGGATAGCAGCAATCAGGGATGTGGCACCCCCGTTTTCTAGAGGGAGAAACAGAGCACAGGGAGCAGAAAATAGCTTGCGTGAGGTCCCAGAGTAAGAGAGCAGTGAGCTAGACCTAGAACTCAGGCTCTCTCTCTCTCTCTCTCTCTTTTTTTTTAAGTTTATTTATTTATTTATTTGTTTAAGCTCAACACCCAAGATGGGGCTCGAACCCACGACCCCAAGATCAAGCGTCGCACACTCTTCCCGAATGAGCCAGCCAGGTGTCCCAGGCAGCCCATGCTCTTAACCACCGTACTCAACATCCCGCATTCACTACACGTGGAAATAGTACTTGCTTCACAGAGTTGAAAAGATATGGCGGGCACAACAGCTGCCACACCAAAAGCATTCAGTCAGTGTTGGCTGTCCCTACTCCTCACTCTCCTTTGGCAAGCACTCAGTTGAATAGTTTTGAGTGTTAATAAGCGTGAACGAGGTTACTGGGAAAGAGACAGGCACACACGTGAGCATGCGTCCACAGAGACACGTGCATGCGCATACCAGAGAGACCAAATGTGAAGTGTGGCCATCACAAAGCTCCAGGACACCAGGAGAGATCGGGCGGCTCCTCAGAGACAGGGCAGGGCAGGCAGCCAGCGGAATTGGAAGCGTCTTGGATGTCTCCGTGCTAATTCCAGGAGCATGCTCGGCCAGGGAATCCCGGTGAATGGGAGCAACGGTGGTCAGGGCCGCCTTGCATGATTGTGCCATCTGTGTCCTCCTACACAAGGATATTAGGGGGTGGGGGAGAGTGGGGGCCGATATCCTGTCTGCGCTGCATTTGCTATACATACTGTGCACCTGAAAGGCTGCGTCCACCCCACCCTATTCTCGCGTATCTGCCAAGGGGAGTAACTTTTCTAGAACCCACAAAGATGCCATATGAGCTGGTAACGGCAATAAGAGCCCAAGAGACCTAAGTGATCCCAGGCAGAAGACAGAGCCTTAGGGAGAGCATCCACACTTGGGGTTAAGCAGCAGTCAAAAAGGCTGGTGGTTAGGGGACAGAGCCCCAGGAGTCCATTTACTCAAATGACTGTTAAGTGCCTACTGTATGCTGGGCACCACGCTGAAGAAGGTGGACCTGGACTGCGCTTTCAGGGAGCTTACAGGTCCGTGGAGGAGCCAGACGTCAAACGAGGAAACTAATACATAATGTGAGATAGTGCTTCGTGTCCTAACGGAAGGCAGCAGAATGAGAGAGTGGCAGGGGAGAGGGAGGGTAATTCTACCCAGAACAGAGAAGGGGATGTTGGGAAGGAGCCCACGGCGATGTCTGGAAGATCAGCCCTTTAAGAGGAATAAGCTGGTGTTGGAGTTCAGGGTAAGATCCAAGTAACAGATAGTAAATGGTCAGAACCAAAGAAAGGCAACCTAGGGAGGACTGAGTTCTACCCAAAGGGTTGTGAGAAAGTGGTACCGCGACCCTTGCACAACCCCAGGGGGCATCATTCATAATACGAGGAAGCTATGAGTGGGCAGGATGTTGCGACTCAAATGGAGGAGGCCTGTCCTGCCTGTGCCCGGCTTTCCTCCCAGGAGACTGAATGTTTGAGTAGACAAAAGCCAGGCCAAATAGGACAATGGAACTCTGAGCCGCCACTTCTGTAGCAAAACGATCAGGACTTGGTCCACGACGGCCCGCACTCCTACTTTTTCTGTCTGGGCTTCCAACTCAGAACCAACCAGAAGAAAATCAAATCTGTCTGCAAACCAATTACATCGGTTGCCCCACTCCTAGTTAGCTAGCCTGCCTCCAGCTTCCCCATGGTGACAGCCTCCAGTCGGGGCACACCCGGGGTCTTCCCAAAGCAGGACCCCTTGCTCTGCAAGCTCTGTGTCCCTAGGCTCTATTCTCTTTTGGGAGGGTCTTCTTGGATTGCAAGACTCCCTTAATGCTTGAGTGGGAGGCAGATACGGGGCAAATCGTGAGCACTCGCATGGAATGAGCCTGGTGTTCTAGAATTGCCACATACCCTGCACCGTTAGAAGCACGCGCGCGCGCGCGCGCACACACACACACACGCCCAGAGGCGGCTTTTTCGTCTTAGACTGAACAAACTTCATGTACTTAAACTACTAATTTGGAACTTGTGCAAGTCTGCCCTGGAGCACCCCGGGCAAAAGGGTACATTTGCACTGGATTAAAAATCAGAGTTTGCCGAGCAGATGCATGTACACCAGATTTCACTCATCTCAACTGGGATTTTTGAGGTACTTTAGCCTCCTTCATTTGCATACAATGATTGATATGCTAATTACAGTAGACTCTGACCTATTCATTAGTACTTAGAGCATACTTACTCCCAGCGGCCTGGGAATGCTTATGACGGAGAGGAATAAGGCTGCACTGGGGCCCACAGAATTCAGAATTTTTGTCCGCTTTGACCAGACTCCCACCCCCAATAGGGATAAAAAAGCCAGACTTACTCTTTCTTGGGTGTTTCCTTTGTGTCCCCCGTGTAAGTCTTTCCCTTTGGACACAGCTTTGGCCACCACGTGGTGCAGGATCACGGGACACCAAACACTCGTGGATGGGGAAGGTATAAGGGCAGTTCATTAATGTCCACATACAGCCGATCCATCCTTCCTCTGGTCACTGGAGGTTCAGGGCCCCAGCTTCTGGGTGGTGGCAGCTCCCAGGACTGGCTCCTTGGTACCACTGGGTCTCAATCATTTGATCTCCTTTAAGATGCTTGGGACAGGAAGATGGGCCAAGACTCAGAACTAAGGTCTTAGGCTTTGTGTCCTCCAGCCTTGTAAATCAGACTCTCATTTCCAGGAAACGTGCACCAGGCCTGACAGAACAAAGGCCAAGTGGCTTCTGGAGGTTCAGCGATCCTTCTCAGCTTACCTGTAACTCACTCTGCGGCTACCTGGGAATCGTGTCCCAGAAGTATAGTTCTCTGGAGCATTCCTGCCCATGTCCCCAGGCCTCCAACATCCATCCACCCACTCACACTTTCATCCATCAAACATTTGCTGTGTGCTGTATGTTGGCAAGATACAACCTTGACCCTCGAGAAGCCATGGTGCACGGTGGGGCATTTCTACAAATAACACTAATCTAGTGTGATAAAAGCTGTAATTGAGACGTGTGCAAACTACCAAGTGAACACAGAAGAGTGAGCAGATAACTTGGTTGGGGAAGGCTTCACGGATATCAAGCAGGTGACACTTGAGTGAAGTCTTATGGAAGCTTCCATTAGCTGGAGACATGGGGTAGGGACAGAGGTTAGGGAGAGGAAGTATTCCAGGCAAAGGCTGAAGAGAGTTAAGAAAAGGCACGGAGTTGTGAGAGTTGGAACAGAGCGAGAGGGTAAAGAAGGGGATGATGCAGAAACTAGTTGGGGTTGTCTTGGGCCCCACGCTGGAGGATTTGAGCTTTATTCTGAGGTCCCAGTACACACCCGAGGCAGGGTTGGAACTCACACGCCAACAGGGGCCAGGCAGAGCATGTCCATCAGTGAGGTGGGCCACGTGGGGACTGAAGCTTGGGGAGCACAGGCTTCATCCAAAGGCAGCAACCGACTGTTGCCAAGTTCCCGTTAAAAAATAAATGGAAATCCCTATTTTTATATGAACACTCCCAAGTTTCAAATGTTGGAGATTGCTCCAAAATATCATGCTGGCCAAGTAAAAACATCTGACATCCCATCAGTCCCTGGGCTTCTAGTTTGGCACTTCAGATATAAAGCTTAAGCAGAGAGCTGACAGACTTCTGTTTCAGAAAGAGACTGTCTGCACAGGTCTCCACATGATGTTTCTGCAGCAGCCTCTGCCAGCAAGAACCTCCTCTCCCATTCCCCACCTTCACGCCCTTGCTTCTTGTCCACGTGGTTTGTGCATCCCTCGCTGCCCTCCCGGAGCGTGCCCGCCCCCCGCCCCTCTCCGGGACCCTCCTCAGCACTGACCCCTCGTCTTACACAGGAGGAGCCGAATGAATGAGCTGTGCTCCAGGCCTGGCTTACAGAGAAGAGCCCAGCATTAAGGACACGAGAGAGCCATATTTATTTCACATGGACAAGCATGATTCCTTCGCATGCTGAACATGAAAGCTCGTGTGAGGCAAGTACCCGTAACAGCAGAATTAATGTGCTTTTGTCCATGGGGAGCAGGGTGGGTCACAAAGTGGTTTTTCAAAGACAGTTACCCTTCAAGCAGAGTGGAGACCACAGGCTTTGAAATCTCTGGTTTATTTCATCATCAGAGGGTCTGTCTCCTAGGAGTGGCCAGGGAGTGCTTCGGGCTCTGCAATGTCTCGATGAGCGGCTAAGGTCAGGAGGAAGAGGATGGTCTCCTATCCCACCCCCCAGGGAGGCTAGGGAGAGTGAAGCTCAGAGGGGAGGTACATGCCACTCGGAATTAGCAAGCCCCCTCCGGGGTGGACAGTGACAGGGGCAGACTGCTGTGTCTGCAGCAACAGAACCATCGCCACTTACAGGACCTATCATAATCAGAAGATCTGCTCTTAAAGCAGTTTCCCAAGGCCTCTCGTGGGCGGAAGGGAAATGATTCGGAATGGACTGGCCATGCCAGAAGCAGGTCAGCTTTGCCTAGACAGACTGGGGAGAGCGAGTGGCAGGGACCCCCCGGTCTCGTGGCCTTAGCTGGGCTTCCCAGTTCCAGGATGATGGAACCCGAGCTGGGAGAGGGGGCTGGAGCGTGGGTCTGCCGGGGGCCGAGGCTCACAGGCTGGACGGGCAAACCCCACGGAGGAGACGAGGAGGAGCCCTTGCATGTCAGTGGCTCACTCCCACCTGAAGTCCTGTCCAACAGTTTCATAAAATTTAATATTATAAGGTCTATAAAATTCCCGCAGCTGGTCTATCACTTCAGGGTCGATCTGTACATGAGTTCTGCCTTTAGATTTGCCCAGGCACCGAGGCAGGAGGCTCGATTCTGTTTTTCTCAAGCAAGGGAAGCCTTTGGTCTTGTTGAAGTAGAAGTGCTTGTCCGTGATGAACCTCTTGATGCCCAGAAAGTCCTGGACCCGGCCCATCTCGCCGGCCGGGTCGGTGATGAGGCGCTCGCCGCTGACGAAGTGGATCTGAGCCAGGGGGAAGTACCGCAGCCAGCTCTCCAGATGCAGCACATACATGCCAATGCGGATGGCGTTCCATGACACGTCCACCTGGCCCAGCGTGCGGTTGCGGAACGAGAGGCCCTCGAAGGTGGGGATGTCCGGCTTCTTGGAGAGCGTCTGCGTGTAATCCGAGATGGCGCGGGTCACCGGGTTCCGCACGACCACGATCAGCTTGGTGTCTCGGGACATGTTGAAGATGCGTCGGGGGGCCTCCTGGGTGACGAAGTAGCTGGGCGTCTTCTCCAGAGTGATCTGGCTCTCGAGGGTCCGGGGCATCAGGCTCCTGTGGGGCAGAAGCAGCGCAGGGTCAGATCATTTCCCTACACCCTGCTCCCTAGTGGAGCCCCCCCCCCCCCCCCGACCTCGGTGACATTGGAGGTCCGCCTGCATTCACCTGGTAAGGAACCCACTTTAAGAACTAGTCTTTCAGCAGGCTTGACGTTTACAATAGTATACCACGGCCTATAATCGCTACGCTGTATTAGATCTCCAGTGAGGGACCCACTTCAACTCATGCTGGTTGTTTAAAAAAATCTTTAACAGGTTTGCTTTCAGAGAGGAAACAACCTAAATGTTCATCAGTATGGGTTAAATAAATGATAGAACAGCCAGTTAATAGAATCAGGTGGATCTGTGTGTACAAATAGGGAATGAGTTCCAAGGTACGGTGTTAAATAGGCAAGATATAGCACATTCACCTCAGGAAGGATACACAAGAAACAATAAAAACAGTTGTTTCTGGGGGGAGTCTTGAGGTGGGGGCAGAGTGAGAAGGTCAGGGATAAGTGTTTTGTTCTGTTTTTTTTTTTAAGTAGGCTTCACCCCAGTGGAAAGCCCAGTATAGGGCTTGAACTCATGACCCTGAGATCAAGATCTAACCTGAGATCAAGAGTTGGACACCTGACTGAGTCCCCAGGTGCCCCAAGAATTACTTTTTGTCTAAAAAGCAATTTTTATTTTTTGTATTTGTATTTTATGCTACTTGAAAATTTTAATGTCGTTTATTACATATTCAAAAATATATTTAGTAGGAAGCTACTAAATATTATTCCGGTGAAAGACAGTTCTCCAAATATATTAAGAAAACCTTTTTGGGGCAAGTCTTGTATGAATAACATTTTAGAAATGCCTTCTGATGTCTTTTTCTGCTGGAACACATCTGAAATACGTCCTCGGTATAAGCCTGAAATAGCACGGAACTCCAGTCCTGTCGTGCCCTCAGCAGGAAGTCAGGTGATGCAACCTCTTGCTCCCTTACTTTTTAATTTCCTGGTTGTGCTTAAGACTTTAAGGGATGATGGTGGGAAGCTCTGAAGTCTCCTTCCCAGATGTGTCTCCTTCAAGCCTTGCTGGAGGGGAACACCCTTGGCTCCCAGTTTCTACTTCTTTCTGAAGGTCGTGTTTTGCACATTAGACCACCCAAAGAATTTTTTTAAAAATGCAGATGTCTGGGACCCGTCTTAGATGAACTAATGAGAAATTTATGGGGTGGGTACTTTTCAGAAGCTCTTCAGATAGTTCCAGTGTGGAGGCAGAGTTGAGAACCACCACATCTTTTCCCCACCGTGACTCACCAACCCCCAAAGCATTCATCATCTTCACCTTCCTCTGGCTCACACATTCCTAGTTCCTGGTCTTCTTCCCAGGTCCCATCATCATCTCCATCCAATCACCCAGCTTCACAGTTCTTTAACCCAAGTCTCCATTTTTCTCCTTTCGTTTGGCAGCTCCTCCTCATGGCCATACCTTGGGTCTTGTCATTGGAATTGACCTAGTTCTGAAATGGTTCTCTCTGAAATTCCACTCTAGTACCATGGAATGGGCCAAATGGTGACCCTCTGAAAGACATGTCCACTCAGAACCTCCGAATGTGACCTTATTTTTGGAAAAAGAGTCTTTGCAGATAGAAGTTAGTTAAGGATCTCGAGATGAGGCCATCCTGAATCCGGTGGGCCCTAATCCAATGAGCAGTAAGTAGCCTTACAAGAGACAAGCAGGGGTGAAGAGAGAAGGTAATGTAAAGATGAAAGCAGAGTGCGGAGTGATATACGTACAAGCTGAGAAATGCCAAGGATTCTGGCAACCACCACAAGCTAGTCGTTTTAAACCACCCCGTCTGTGGTCATGTGTTATGGCAGCCACAGGAAACTAATACAGGCTGTACCCTTATTTCTTCCTACCTTTATTTAACACAGTCTCAAACTCACTATACCTGATCTTGAAATTCATCTGACTCTCTCTGATTTCATGTTCCTCCATGCCTGCTCTGGACCCATGAATAACATGCAATAGCGTCACGGTCATGAGCATCCTCCTCCTCGTCCACTTCCTTGTACTGTGTGTTCTCCCATCGCTAGCAATGTGTCCTTCCAACCTTTCATTCTCTCCCATTCTGTCCTGGGGATGACAAACAGCAGCAAAGGAAACCAGTGACCCTGACAACTGGATCCTTGATATGCTTATAAATTCTAGCTTCAGTTGAACTCTCAAACACTGCTCTTTTTATTTTTTTAATTTTTTTTTTCAACGTTTATTTATTTTTGGGACAGAGAGAGACAGAGCATGAACGGGGGAGGGGCAGAGAGAGAGGGAGACACAGAATCGGAAACAGGCTCCAGGCTCTGAGCCATCAGCCCAGAGCCCGACGCGGGGCTCGAACTCACGGACCGCGAGATCGTGACCTGGCTGAAGTCGGACGCTTAACCGACTGCGCCACCCAGGCGCCCCCACTGCTCATTTTTTATATTTACCTCTCAAGTTCGTCAAAGTGCTCTACCTTCTCACCATGAGCTCCCAACTCTACCCCTGTTCCTCCGCATCAACACACAGCTAGTCTCCACCACTTACACATCAGCTCCTTCAACCTTCCTCTCGTCCACCTTCAGACTGTTACCTGCACCCATCCTGCGCCCCTCCCGCTGGTCTTAGAGGACAAGGTGGCCTCCCCTGTCCACCTGTGCTCCTAGATCTTTGCCCCTGGTGCTTTCCCCGCAAACCTGCACATTACCCCCGGAACCTTCAAATTCACCGGGTACCTGACGGGCTGACACGACTGGTATCTCGTTTCCAGGCTCGAGGTCCGTAACGGACCCTTGTGAGTTGGAAGTTTGAGATTTATCAACAGGGAGTAGGCCATTCGTTTTTAACAATAGGATATCGTCATTAGCAAACAATCACAAGTACACATGACTAGAATTCTTTGGCTGGATTTTCTTAGAAACGTGGCTGTATTATATTATGACCTGACCCACACTGTAAATAGGTGTTGGCCTTAAGGACAAAAGCAGATGACATTATATAGATGTGACTGCATTTATTTGTAAAACTTTTGAAAAATATTTATTTTTGAGAGAGAGAGAGAGAGCGTGAGGGGAAGAGGGCAGATAGGGAGACACAGAATCTGAAGCAGGCTCCAGACTCTGAGCTGACAGCACAGAGCCTGATGCGGGGCTTGAACTCACGAACCGTAAGATCATGACCTGAGCCAAAGTCGAACGCTTAACTGACTGAGCTACCCAGGTGCCCCGTGATGGTGCATTTAAAGTTAAGGACTTTCCAGGGGCACCTGGGTGGCTCAGTCAGTTAAATGTCTGACTTCGGGCTCACGGTTCGTGAGTTCAAGCCCCGCATCAGGCTCTGTGCTGTCAGCTCAGAGTCTGGAGCCTGCTTCAGATTCTGTGTCTCCCTCTCTCTCTCTGACCCTCCCCTGCTCTCTCTCTCTCTCTCTCTCAAAAATAAATATTAAGAACTTTCCAAACCCTATGGGGGTTACTGATATAAAGGTTTTCTGCAACACCAAAAAGTTGACCTGACAAGCTACTAAACAGATTTCTTTGCATTACCCTTTAAGACACTAAAGGATACCCGAGAGAGGAAGCGCAGGTACGGCATTTCCCAAGCTTATCTAAGGATACTTTTGCCAGGAACACCAGCGAATGTCTCTCTCTGTTACCAGTTTGGGAAATTCTGCCCAATTCCAGTGATCTCCGGAGAACCACATCATTCCCCCAGCTGTCCCCCAAACAGAAGCTCCACCTTGCCAATTCCTCACTGGCATATCGGCTGCAAAACCGAGTTACAAATACTAAGGAGGCACTCACACCAGACTGTAAACGGGATCGCGCAGCCCTGATCACACCACGAGTCGCACGGCTCCTGTGCACTGCCATTTTCTCCATCCCTTACCTGTTTCTCCTGGGGTCGCTAGCGTCGAGTGCGGGGGGCCTGTGCGAGCATAATGTGCAAGAGACTCTACATGCCTCATTGCTCTTTGCACAGGCAGGTGTTGGGGGGCATCAGACTTTTCCTAGAGGCTCATGTTTCCTCCTCATGTCATTGTGTAAATTTTGCTTACCTGTTTCCGGCCGCTAAAAACAGCTGAACTTTTCTCTCTCAGCTTCGGCCTCCTTTCTTTACACTGTGGCTCTGCAAAAGTGACTGGAAGAACTAACACTCACAGTCTGGACTCACTCACCTCCCATCTGTTATTTTAACCTGCTCAGCGGCAATTTTCCTACATCTGGCAACAGCCCCCAGATTTCTCTTGGAGGAACTACCCCTCCTGCTTTGGATTAAAATCTTGGCAGGCCCGGGGGTGGGTGCGTGACTGGAGTTAAGACGATCAGTGCCAATTGTGTCATGAAGACTAAACACGTATCTTTCGGACTGGAAACCGTTGGGCTGAATCCTCCAACCAGGCACGGGAGCCTGGAAGCCTCCTCACCGGCCTCTGCTTCCAAGTCCCTGTGGCCGTCTTCACGCTCACCCCGTCCGAGACCCGGTTCTTCCGCTTTCTTCCGTGCCCTGTGAGTCCCTACATGTCCTTCCGATAAAGGACTACTAGTCGAAGTCAGTGAGAGTTGGTTTCTGGTGCTGGCGCCCCGAGAATGCAAATCTTATCTTTTACAACCCGGCTTCCTCTCTGTGGAGGCCAAGCTCCCCTAAACTCCATGAGGGCAGGGAGCCATTCTAGATCTTCCCAAGGGTCTAACTCGCGCTCCCCCCACTCCCCGCGATCTCCCTGGCCGACCTCACTCCTCCCCCGGCCTTTAACCACCACTGAGGAGCTGTGACTCACAGGTCCGTAACTGCCGATCCAACTCGCCCATGCTCCAGACTGGGACGCCCGACCCTCTGCAGACTGGACACCTCACCTCAACAACGGAACTCCCCATTTTCCTCCCCAAACTCACTTCTCTCTTTTGCCTGTCCTTGCAGATGATGTCGCCGTGAATCCACTCACAAAGCAGAAAACCTTCACAGTCATTCTTGACTCCTTCTCGCATCTAATGTTCTTTGTTCCGGAAAGTTCTCAGGTAGGCCCTGCCTCTCCCAGCCCGCTCACACAGCCTCAGGCTCTTGTCATATATTTCTGCCTGACCTCCAGGCTTCCGCTCTCTCTTCCCTTTCAGTCTGTTCTGCATCTTGTGTCCACCAGGGAAATCTCTCTAAAGCAAATCCAATCTTATCAATGACCAACTCTTCTTTTGAATAAAGCCCGTATTCCTTGACTTGGTACTTAAGGCCACTGCCTTGCCTTTCTAGAATTAATCTCTTGCCACGTCCTGGCAACCCAATGCTCATGTCATGCTGAATACAAGATCCACTCCCCAGAGCACGCCATGTGCTTTTGCAACTTGCTGAGTTTTTTGTTTTTAAGACTCTGGATCATCTTTCTTTGTCTCTCTCACTCTAGTGAACACTGACTCATCTCTCCAAGCCCGAACCAAAAGTCACACCCTCTGTGAACCCTTTCTTGTAATTTCATGACATTTGGTGCATCCAACTGCCAGCACCCTCATCCCATTGTGCAGAACTTAGCAGATATGCATTCACTTGTATCACCACATTGTCAGCAACTTGGGCATGTTTCTCATTTGTTTTTGCCTTCCTAGCACAGTACCCAGCAAACCACAGGTGCTCAGCAAATGGGTCAAAGATCCAGTGTCAAAGGCAAGTGCCTATTGAGAGGTCATCTTGAGTCCTCACAAGTTACCAGTGTTAGTTCAGGAAGCACAGCCTTTTCTGGGCATTCTGGCCTTGGGCAGAGGACGGTTTCAGTAGACAGTCCTGGGGAGGGGGGATCACGGTGTCATTTTCAAGATTTTATCAAGGCCACAGGCACTCAGGCACAGAGACTGAGGGAGGTCCAGGCTCTGCTTCAACCTAACCTCCATATCTAAGAAAGTGAAATGAGATGTAAGAAGGAACACATCTTGTGCCCTTTCTGGTTTGCTACCTACACCCCGTCCTTCGCCCCGGACTCCCACGGTGATGGGTGAGAACCCGGCTGTGGTCAGTCTGCAGTGAGGCTAGGGGTGTGGGGGGTAAAGTCATGCTGCCCACTGGGACCTCCTGCAGGGTTTTTGGAGATATTTAAACGGCCAGACCCCACACCAGACTATTTAAATCAGAAACTCTGGAAGTGGCCCTGGACTCCTGCAGTTTGAAAGCCCTCCAGATGATCCCAGTGGCTCACCAGGGCCAAGAACCACTATTGCTTTAGCCACTTAGCCTTGAATACAGTTGTTCACGAGTATTAACTGGGGTGCACATTACAGAAAAAAGGTCCCAGGCCCCTCCCCTGTACATTCTGATTCAGTGGGTTCCCCATGATTCTTACCATCAGAAAAGTTTGGGAAGCGCAGCCTTATTAAAATGGGCTCTCACAAATAATGTGATTATGCTCATTACTCTCTAATATATGTTTACTTGTATGTTGGGCCTCTGCCCATCCCAGCCCCTAACCACTATTCTCTTGTAAGTTCTAAGAGAATCGGGTGGATGTCAGTCTTGTTCCCTACTCTCAGCCCCAAGAAGACTGGCAGGTGGTAGGGGGTACAGAAAAACAGAAAGTCAGGGCTTGAATCCGGGAAGGGTAAGGAAGAAGCCATTTGTAAGTGCCACTGGAGACGTGGGCCTCTTCCCCATGCAGACAAAGTCTGTACTCTTACCTACTTCCTGAGGGAAAATCACAGACTTCCTGAGGACCCTCCCAAAGAAAAAGAAAAAAACATCTAACTCTCTTGGCAGCTTGAGGCTGGAAAGGGTTTTTTTTTTTTTTTTTTTTTTTTTTTTTTTTTTTTTTTTTTGTTTTTTTTTTTTGTTTTTTTTACACCTACCCCGTGGGGCAGAGACCACTCCCTGGGCCCCCACTGTCCACACAAGAGACATCCTATGCGTGTCCGCACACGGGAGCCTCAGCAGGGCCTCCCTGGGAACTTGGAGTACGAGCACACCTCTGATCATTACCGAGAGGATTCTCTGGAAGATTTCATTTTCTGCTAAATCTATGCACTCCATGTATGTGTTCTGGAAGCCTGGCTGCCTGGGGGACTTGGGTGATTTATTAGCTCCTAACTGGGCAACAGGCTCCTTGAAAATCATTGCAGTCTCCAGGGGGATAATTAAGAGTGGAAGAGGAGGAAAAAGGCTTTATTGCAGGAAACCGGTTCTTAAAACAAAACCTGCCAACCCCCCCGTGTGCTGAGCCCAGCGCAGGCACAGCACCTGTGGCCGTTTCTCCTCATCTGGTTGAGAAGAGAAATGACCACTTCCTTCCAGGTCCATGGCCCCGAATCCTCACACTTAGGTGACCCTGGAGCAAAACATGAAGTCCCAGCTTGAACTCCATCAACCATTCTTCACTGCTCACAGGATAAAGGCCTTGACAGGATTTATGTGGCTCTTCTTAATCTGGCCCATGGCCACCTGGGCGGCCAGCGTGGTCTATTCAAGGCTCTCCCCACAAGACTCTATTTCGTGCTAAGGGACCTTTTACACATCGTATCCTTTGGGCGACGTCCCCTGCAGCCTGTTGGGCGAAACTTCAGCTCTCAACTCATCACCTCCACCAGGGAGCTTTCCAGGCCCCCCTTCTTTTCCCCTTCCTGGAAGACTTAGG